GAAGCTCGGGCTGCACAACCTGCGGCATCGTCAGTGGTTCATCCAGTCTGCTTGCGCCACTACCGGTGACGGTCTCTACGAAGGTTTGGACTGGCTTTCCCGGACGCTATCCTCCAAGCGCTAGGCTGGCAGTAAGCAGCAGGTTGATGGCCCCGTAGTATGCTATGTCTCGAGAATGGTTAGCGCTCGTAGTCTTGCTTTTTGCTTTCGGTCGGTTTTGTAGGAGTCTTCGCAAAGGAGGCTGTGGGCAACGGGGGCGCATCATTGTGTAGTGTGGTGCGCTTCCGAAGACCTATCGGCATATTTCGCCAACCTGCAGCAATGCAGTCTGCAGGAAAAGATGCGAAGAACATGCTACTGTAATGGCTGAAGCATCGTCACGCCAAGGCAGGTGGGACTAGAAGCAAGCTCAATCCGCCTACGTGGATGATTGCGGACACCATCATCATCAGTCGGCATAGCTATGTGAGAGGCGATAGCCGTTCACCGCACGTGCTGTTCGCTGTTGGGGTTTGTCTAGGTCAGACGTTCTGCGTGGCATGTGATTAGTCATGCGAGTGTAGCGCTAGCTTCGGGATTCTTGCTCCGTGGCTACGTCGTTGGGTGCAGGTTCAGCTAAGCCTCACTTGGAGTTTGAATTCCCACTGAGCAGAGGATGTGTATAGAGCTCATGCTTGCCAGTTTCATCCCAAATCTCGGGAAAAGAGTAGGAAGGCAATGTGTTTGGACCAAGCCGCAGCTTCCGCCGCGCTGGCACAAGGGGCTACGGCTAGCCACACAGTGTTTTTTCCCGGTAGGTGTAGCTTTCGCCCTACAATGCCAAGCGCAAAGAAGACGATCAAGAGCACCGCGTTCACGAAGCAAGAGCTCATTGATGTGCTGCGCAGCGCCAAGAGCAGCAAGGAACAGAACCGTGCTGTCAAGTTGCTGAAACAGTTCGATCCCATTCCCCACTATGAGTTCGATGATGAGGGCTTCAAGTCCGTTATGAAGCCAAAGAAGTACGACTACCTGTTGGGTTATGTTTGTGATCGATGCGGCAAGGTGAAGCAGACAAATTACCAAGTGCTCTGGAAGACGTCCATGGGAGTCCGGAAGATTTGCTACCCTTGCTCCTTGCGGACCTAACGATCCCCAAACCCTAAAGCATTATATTCCCATCAACACTCTTATTCTTAAGAAATAGCTACTATCAAAACCCTTTCCGTGATCAACTAGTCCCCAAGGCTATCAGCAGCTGGCAGAGAGGGAGGAAGTGGCTGTGATGCGGGCAGCAAACCAAAAAGCCGGGATCATTCCGAAGGGCTTTGGCCTGGGACTCACAGGCGGCGGGGTCTGAAAAATTGGGTTTTTGGAGGGATTCTTAAAGCTACTAGTAGGGGCTTGCGGTTTGGGGCTCCATAAAGTCTGACTTGGTTTGAGGTGCAGGGTGTCTGGCTCTTAAACCTACGGGCTTAGGGTTCCTAACCTAGGGTTTTTGAGGCTCAGGGCGGCTTAGGGCTCAAATTGCTCAAATTCCTAAGCTACTTAGAGCTCCTTGTAGTAAGGAGCTCATCCTTTAGGCACCAGCCCTTATTGGGTCCCTTGTGATCCGAGAGACTCCGAGGTGTCGTGCAGCAGTGAGCGTGCCTCTGTAGCTTCGGCCATGGAGCAGCGCGGACCGGAGGTTTTGCTGTTTCATATAGGGGCCCTTTAGAATTACCGATATCAATCCTTAGGGTTCCTTATAATTAGTTACAGAATCATATATCCCAAAACCCTATTCGAATTATGAAGGCCCCTATATTATTGCAATTGAGGGGTGTTGGACACGTGTACAGGAATTGTGGAGGAGTTGCCTTGCATGGATCACGCCGCGTCAGAACTTCATGTCCGGACTTTTGGGGTTTAGCTATAGGCCCCATAGTAGTTACTTTTTGGGATTCCCTAATAGGATTCTAAATATGAACCCCCAAAAGGAACTACTCTAGGGCCTATGGGTAGAGCTTTACGGTTTCAGGGTCAAGGTGTTCAGGGTTTGCTGGTTTACGGCTTAGGTTTTGGTTTAGATGTGCGTGATGGATTTCCAACCCCACCCCTGTGCAATGTGTGGCTCGGAATAATTGGTAATCCTATTCCTTCTTCGTGTGTATACATATATATATATATATATACACATGTATACATGTATAGAGTATAGAGAGAGAGAAAGGGAGATACATTCTCTGTGTATTCATTCATGTGAGTTTACTGCATGATACACCGTACCCCTCGTTGTTTAGTCCCCAACAGAATCCCGAAACCCTAAGCGAAACCTTCCGGTGACAGTGAATGTCGTGAGAGGCGGAGATCGAGCAGACCAGGGCCCTTCTGGAAATGCAGCAGGAGGCCAGCAATATAAGATAACAGTGGTAGTAAGTAGAAAACGAACACGAACAAGAACACTATTAAGATGAAAGTTATGCATGTTAATAGTACTGGGCTCTTTTCCGCAGCATTTGGCTAGGCTTTCGACCATTCCCCGTGTTCCCTTATCCGGGGCTTTGAGAGCCAGCGCTTGCGTTCAGGAGAGTCCTTGACCGGCTCACTTGCGGTCGCTAGGTCACTAGGCGAAGCTAAGTTAGCCACAAGTTGGTTCTTATCATGGGTTTGGGGTTTAGGGGGGATGGCAGGCCAACTACAGTAAGTTCAACCCGGCAACATCAGCTAACGTTCAATTGACATCGGAACTGTCAGTCGGCTTAGCATTTTGGTTTTCAAAGTTCTGGTGGGCCTCGATCTTGTAGAATTTTAATCCCGCAAGATCTAAAAGTCGTGATCATTTTCCACTGGGTCTTATTGAACCAGCGTTCCTGCATGAGCAGCATGCTTGCGGAATCTTCGGGCATGCATAAGAGGTACTCCTTCTGGACCTTTGACGACTCGTTCCGATGCAAAGAATAAACTGACGGCCCGACCCACCATTTTGATCGTTATTCCTGCAACATGGGAGGTTAAGGGCCCGAAGCCTAGAAATCTTCAAGCCTGCAGACATCCAGTCCGTTGCACCTTGTTTGGATGCCAGGAGCTGAAGAGAGTCCATCAGATCCAGGCTTTCCTCAGTCGACTTTTTGCTGTGTTCGGGTAGTTGGCGGTTCAAGGCAACTTGACGTCGATAGCTTTCGCAGCTTTGGTTTGTGTGGCAAGATGTTCTGATATTAGGCCTGGGCGGGGCTTGGTCATCGAGATTTCCGGTGCCGGGCCGATTTCATTCGACGTTGAAGTGCTTGCAGGGCTTTGCGGGGCTTTGGTGTAGTTGGAGCATAAATGAGCTTCGATGTTCCTGGCAAAGCCGACCTGTTGGCGAGTTTTGTAAGGCGAGGTGGCCTCGCTTGAGCGTATAGCATCAGCACCACAAGTCTTTTCCGTCGAGTGCTGCCGCAAAGCTACAAAGCCTTCGATAGAACACCAGCCTTCCGACGAATGCTTGACGTGTACCATTGCTTCCTAGAAAGTTTACCATTTGGATTTGGTTTTTCTGGCGATCATGTATGGCGCACCTTTCCGTGCGGTTCAGCTGTGTTTGCACGTTGCGGCCACTGCATGAATAGACTTACGACGGCGTTATCCGTTCTCATGCGGTCGCACGGTACTGTAAAGCAGCAGCGTCATTGACAGTAGTAGCTTGTTTTAGGGTTTTCCTTGTCTTGATCATATAGAGTGTGCTGTATCGTTTTTCTCGACTGGAACACAGATGCAGCATACACGCGCGCATCCTTACACATCCGCCAGACAAGCCGTGTGTTGTTGCAATCATACATGTATGTATTTGCACAGAACCTGCATACATTAATACCCCTGTGTGGATGTATGTGAGGTGTAGGCTTTTGCGCACGTCTGTGACGTAGACATGTCACGTCGGCTTTTCGGCTCGGGCAGACAGTGGGCCATGCTCTGAAGGCGCATCGCCCACGAGGCCAGGACGGTGAGGAACCACCACTACCACTACTACTAGACGACGACTACTACTACTACGACTACTACCACTACTACTATTAGTACTACTGCTGCTGCCGTCGCTGCTGCTGCTGCAGCTGGATTCTGCTGCTGCAGGGGGCTAGGCAGATGTGTTTCTTGGCCGCCAGGCCTGATTACCCTTGCGAGTCCTCGCTTCAAGCGAGCGACAGCAGAGCCGCGCGGCGAAGCCCTCGGCGCGGTAAACTCCACCCCGAAATCCACGGGCCAAGCTAATCCTCTGTCCGAGGCCCGGAACACGGACGTGGTGCAGTTGTTGGCGCTGTGACACCTGAAGGTGCCTTAAGGCCAGGTTCAGGGTCGTGCAGGGGACGAGTTTTTGTAAGGTGCAACCTGAGAGCACTCCAGTCGGCTTAATCTGAGGCAAAAAGCTTGCTGTGGCGGGTGCGCTTGCTTGGCCTGCTGTACCCCTGCTCCGAAACATCAACGTCATTAGCTGTATATATATATATATATACATATATATAGAGTATACATATAGATACATCTTGTATGTGTTTGCATGTTATCTATGGAGGGATGGAGACTTAAGTAGGCTGGAATCTACATGGAACTCTGTGTGGGGAAGCACGCGCCTGTGGCTTTATAATCGGGCGAAGGCCAGCCAGTCTTGCACGAGCAGTGCCCGAGGGTGCCGAATGATAAGTAAATCGTCTTTAGCTCTTTGGGCGCGAGCTTGAAGCGAAACTAGATATCTAATGGGTCATAGATAGCATCGAATACTGTATATATCATGCAGTATATACTATAGCTGTAGCTGACCCATAACGGGTGGTCTTTGATGTGCTTGGAATACTCCGACCTGTGCGTGCAACGGTCGGGGACCAGTACCAGCTGAGGCTGGCAAACTGTCAGAAGCGAGGTCTGAGTGAGGTCCTTCCCGCAAGATTCTGCAAGAGCGCACAAAGAAGATATAGTGCAGAATCCTGGCTTCCATAAGCGAGAGCCCTGCCCGCGACACAACCCCGAAGCTGACTGGCCAACCCGAGCGAAGAGGCGCGTGCGGAATGGGCAATGCATCGCAGAGACCAGAAGGACTGGGACGTGCCTGCAATGATACATCTAAACCCCAAGCCCTGAGCCTGTGGGTTTGGTGACAATACCTTCGGACTTCATGGCTGAATAGCAGGTTAGTTGGACTCCGCGCCTGCCCTGTGTGAGCGTGCCAGTCGAAACCTTGAACCAAAACTGCATTTTCCGGCTCATGGGGCTCTGTGGCTTCGCAGCTTCAGAGAGTTTGAGCCATAGCGGGGCCATAAGGTTGGGGCTGCAGGAAGGAGAAAACGTTGAAGATGTGGTGCCAAAGGATGCATGACATAGATATCGGTGTCTTCACAACTCGCAATTGATTGGCAACCATAGCCCATCACAGCCCCTTATAGTCCCTGCGTTTTCTTTGTATAGCCCAAAGCTGACTTTCATTCTTAATTCTTAAGGAGTCTTAAGGCCCCTATATGTTTTGGGGGGCCCTTCTTGATCCGCCAATTATAACACAAAAAATCTAGAAGAAAGCCCTAAACCCGGAACGCTGAACCCTAAGACCCGGGCTCTTCAAAGGCTTGAGCTCCAAACTCAGAAGCCCCCTGCGCTGCGATAGGCGGCGACAAGGCATCAGTCCGCGAGACAGCTCCGGCTGAACCGGAGAAGCCCCGGGAGGACCTTCGAGTTTAGGGTGTTTAGGGCTCTACCTTATTTCTCTATAAATCCAATATTAGGGTTTATAATAAGAACCTACAAAAAAGTGGGTTTTGGGTTCTTAAGGTAGGGAGAGAGAGGGCTCAGGGTTCTAATTGGCCGCGCCTGACCCTTGCCAGATCCCGGGTTTAAGGTTCCAGAACTTTTGCGTCGCGGGATGGGTGTACCCATAGGCCCTAAAGTAGTTCCTTTTTGGGGTTCATATATAGAATCCTATTTGGGAATCCCAAGAAGGAACTACTATGGGGCCTATAGGTAGGTTTAGGGTTGAGGCAGGAGGTTTGGAGACCTGCCGTCAGGACATCCGGGATAAGTACGAGCTGGGGAAGGTTCTCGGGAGCGGTTCATTCGGCCAGGCCGGACGGAGACACAGCGGCTCGACACTCTGCACCCATTGTCTGAACCATCATTGTCCCAACATGGGGGTTTCTGAAAATAGGGGACCCTAATATAGTACCCCAAATAGTAGGATCCTTATTATAAAAACCCCAAGAGAAAGTACCCCTTATATTCGGAAACTCCCAACATGATGCATAAGCTCTCAACCCTAAACCGCGGCCGTTTCAGGCTCCGCAGTCGCTGAGCTCCTCTGACATCACCAAAATCACATCGTCACCAAGAAAACTCAACGGATCACCCGCGTTTTGAATGTTGTGAGAGTAGGGCCCGAAATTGGATGCACCCCCCAGGGGAACTCCAGTTGTTTCTTGGCCTGCTGCAGGTGCGGGAAGCAATTCTAAAGGAACTTCCCGCAACTTGGACTGGTTGTCTTCATTGTGCTGCTGTGCATGTTGGCCACATTTCGAATATGTTGCCTGCTAAGGACAAGGTCAGAGCCGTGAAGATTATTGAGAGGGATGATGATGCAGAGGGTGGCGGTGAGTGGAGTGGCTCGGCTCGCACTTTTTTGGTGCTGCCCCCAGCCGATAGTCCAAGTCCTGATCGGCTAGCTAATCACTGAATTTGTATCCAGACCCGTTCTGAACGTCCTGCTTTCACTCAGCTGGAGAAGACCTCGTGCCGCACGTCTTCGATGAGCAATTCGGGAAAATTTTGAAGCAATCACACTGTCGCATAGAGTGTGCGACCTGATACCGGGAGCAGTGAGTAGTGCTTACATAAGAACGCAACACTTGTGCCGAAATGAATAGACAGTATACCTAGTAAACAAATGAATCTGAGAGGCGATGCTCTGGGTTAAAATGCAAGATGGCAACAGAAGAACTACAAGCATTACTACTTGTGGCCGTGGCAAAGCTTGGAGATGGATGAATGATAACGAAAAACTGATGCCGGGATTGCTTGGCGTTTTGCCCGTGCGACTCCACATGCCAATGACCAAACATTGCCTTTTTGGTATAGCTACCCAAGGATATATCTTTGACACACATACATATATATATATATATTTATACTTATATTTATATGCATACATATATATATATATACACATGTGAAGGCAAGTTCTCCTGCACGAGTCGGCTTGGAAGTGCCATGTCAATGTCAGACAAAGCATGCAATGTCATGCAGAGTGGGGTATTCTCCGTGACGGGGTTGGTGATAGGATCATGGTCGCCCTTCGGATTGCCAGCCCTTTCTGGAGGGATAACAGCCACCTCAGGCTTTATGCATGCTGTTGGTAGTCACTAACCCGTGCACCCTAACCCTCAATAGTCGTGTGAAACGCCTGTTTGACCAGCAGGCAACAGCGCCATGTTCCGGCAGGAGGCACGGACCAGACAGGGAGGGTGTCGACGTTCTTAAGCTACAGCTTTTGGGTTTGTGATCGGGTTTCGGGAACTGACAGGATTTCCACATGCTTCTGTGCAGATGTTCAGTTGATGGCGGACCTCCCTCCGAGGTGGCATTGCTCCAGAACCTGAAGCATGACAATATTGCCGCAGGGCTGCCGTCAGCTGTGGTGGCTTGAAGGTTGAAGATCTTGCCTCAATAATATAGGGGCCTAAAATATCAATATAAGTATAGTATAATGGGCCCCAAACCCCTACGTATTCTAATTATGAAGGCCCCTAGATTATGCCTTCCGAGTAGGGCTAGGTAGCTTTCAGGGCGGATGGGCGAGCATCCCTCCAGTCGGTGGTTCGTGGCTTGCCTGGCTTATATAGATGGTCGTGCAGGCTCCCAAAGGTCAACAAGAGCTTTAAGAGCAACCCCCCAAGTCCAAAAGGCCTTAATCTTAAAGTGCACCCGTTTGCCACGTTTCATGCATTTTCATACTAAAGGTCCGCTTCTGGGACGTCTATGAAGATGTGCACTTCCTGTACGTCGTCAGAAGCTCAGCAGTGCCAAGTGGAAGCTCTTGGGCCTCAGCTGTGAAGATGTGGAAGTTCGTTTGTTTGTCTGTCTCTCTCTCTCTCTCTCTCGCTTCCTGTTTGTTCTCTCTATCTGATTCTATCTGTCTCTGCCTGTCTGTGTGAGTGTGCGTGTCTGCAACCCTGTGTCGAAGGGCAACATAGATATTCGCGGTATCAATCAGCGACTGTGGGAAGCGCGCGCTGTTTAAAGGAAGTGTTTGTCTAGAGTCTTCGTGTGGAGTCATGCCTGTTCTTGTCACGGCTAAGAGCTGCCATCTGACGATTACGATTTTTTAAAGCCTGACAGAGAGCCTTCGACGAAGCTTCAGCGAGTCATCCAGCACCTGTGACATGTCCATCCGGGTTTGTTCCTTTGTTGATATTCTTCGTGGCGCCGTCCCGCTGCTACTAAGGTGGGGATTGGCGTCCGTTCCGCTCCTTGTGTTGTGTGTGCGCTGTTACACCAAAACATATCCGTAATTCTACCCATTGTGGTTTCAATCAGTGTGTACGTGTGTCCGTGTTTGTTTCATCTCTTTCTCCCTCCCTCTCTGGCCATCGTCGTTGTCTATTGGTGATCACTGCTTCCTGACAAAGAGGCACACATTCATACACTCATACAGGCGTACCCGCATGTATATCTACTTCTTCACTGCTCAGCTTCTGGAACATCAGGTGATGGATCTCTGTCGCGGAGGGGAGGTGTTTTCGACACCTGGCCGGTTGCTGGTGATTGTAAGTGTAGGCCCGACTGGCCCAGAACTACCAGCTGGGGTAGATGGCCTTGATGGGGCCGGGGGTACATCATCCACACCACCATTGTCACCAAGCTCATACACAGCCTCACCAGCACCATCATCATCGTTATCATCAAGAATTGTAGTCAGTGTCACTACACAGAGTATCCTCCGGCCCCTGTCACCATGGAGTTTACCCAGAGTAAACAAGGTCCCCGTAAGAAAGGGAAATGGCCCCACTTCCGGGGTCACATCCTACTCTTGCATTTACATTGGCTACTCTCTGCATCGTTTCGGACCTGCAAGGATTCCACGCCAGGAAGCAGTCTCAGGGTTCTTGGGATTGGTAATTCCTGCGTCTGTTTCCTAAACCCTGGAAGACCCGCGGTGCTCGCTGATTACCTACGCCCTGGGACAGAACCCAGCTCAGGAAAATCCTAGAGCTGCGGAGATTCACAGAAGCGAACGCAGCAACTTTAGGGTCCCAAATGCTGGCCCCTTGGCTTCATTCGAGATTAGTTGCGGATTCTTGGTTCGTCGATGCCCTCAGCCTGAAATATGTCATTGTGTCGGCAAGCGCAATGGTCGGGCCAGGGGCTTTCGCAGCGCGGGTTCAAGCAACCTTAACTGGGCGGGAGAAGAAGGTGCCCAAAACAGCACCTGAAATATCGGGGTTTAGGGATACTAGGGCTTAAAAACACCAGGCAGGAGGTCGTTTTGTGTCTTGGGAGCTTTCACTCGGGGCTTGCAGGCGAGTTGTGAGAGCCCAGGTACTTAAGGGTTTGGGATTTAGGGTCTGGGGTTAGGGCTTGGGGTTGAGGGGCTAGGGTTTAGAGTTTCTAAGCTGCGAGTTTGGGGAAAACGGGAGCTCCAATGCTGAGGGTGGACGATCTTGCGAAAACAAACCCCGAAGCAAAAAGGGGAGCCCAGAGTCGATAAGGCCTCAACTTTTTGTTTGGGGGGGAGGGGTATGTATGTACGTATGTATGCATGTATGTGAATAACATTACTTGTCTAATTGCTTGTAATGTATATATATATATATAACACTAATTGTGGTATAAACGAATGTAAGCTACCCTAAGGAAGGAGTGTGACGAAGCAATAGCATAGAAACTTTGGAGCGTGTAGGCTCCAGAGGTCGGGGTTGTTTGGGGGCCAAGCGAGTCCCGGCGCGAGAGATTTCAAATTCTATCTCTGAGCCACATATGGGTTCAGGGTTTATGCCAAAGCCCAGCCAGGGTGAGCGCGATGAAGTTGGGATGGATCGTGCCGGCAAACGTATCCGTGCGCTGTAGCACATTGCAAATGGAGAACGTAGATGTCTTTGAGGTAAGGATCCTTAACCCCCCGGACTCTGCTGGCCTGCGTGGCACATTGCACCAAATACTGACGGTTCACCAAGTTCTGGTGTCGTGCGGGGAACAGGAATCCTGTATCACGATACAGCCTTGTAGCCAGAAAGGGCTCCGACATGCAAACTGAGGCAGCCATCGCTTACATCCATAGCAAGAGCATCATGCACCGCGACATCAAGGTGGGGAACCGGCATGCGAGAAGTTGAGCCCCTCACGCGGGGAAATGACGGACCTGGAGGTGCTTGAAAGATAGTAAATGAGTAAGTGCCACGATGTATTCACCAGCGAAATATCCACGATGAGATTGATACTACTAACTAACAGCACAAATAATCACTAATATTCATAACCACATCGAATATGGTAACAAGAATAAGAACAATAAGTTAGCATATGGGGGTATATCATGTAGGAGGTCTTCATGTCCTGCCACTTGGGGTGTCTATGAACATCAGGGATCCTTACATTCAACTATCCTTGTCGTCAGCATCCCGGAAGCATGAGAGCCGTCACGCTTGCATCCAAAGGCGGAGAATTTTTTGCTTTCCGACAAATCGCCAACCTCGGTCGTCCCCGCCTCAAAAGAGTTTGGGTTCCAGAGGTCCGGAAGCGCTGATGTTGGACTCGATACAGTCTACTAAACCCTATAAGCCAGAGCAGAATTCGATGAATGAGGGAGAAGGGCCATCAGCTGACGGTCTGAGCTTCCGGGACTAGGAACCAGCAGAACCCCTCATGCGGGCCCAAGGTCAAAATGATCGACTTTGGGATGGCCGTGAAGTTTGACCATGGAATTTGGTTTAAGGCCAGCTTCGGGGCTTGGGGTCCAGGGAAGCCGCTGGCAAATCTGGCTGATCTAGGGGCCTTTCTAAATCGAACAGGGTTTTGGGGCCCATGATACTATAAATATAGTAAGTATAGGTATTTAGTTAGGCCCCTACATTAGACCTGTTACAGGTTGGGGCTTCAAACCGTTGTCCCTGCGACAGGCTTGGTCACCAGGGTAGATCTTGTGCTCAAGGGGGGGGGGCGGTACTTACGGGCTGACTGTTTCGATAGGATCTTCAGAGAAATCTTTGGTCATGGGGCACGACAACCTGCGCGAGATGTGTCCCATTCCTCGATGATGTCGATACGAACGCTCCTTGCATTTTGTGCCCTTCTGCCATCCTCAGCCCGCCCCAGCTTCAGCGAAATCCCTGGAGTAAACTCCAACCCCTGAAATACCTAACTTCGGATCTCCCCTCCACAAAACTCAACTCCAAAATCCCCTAGGCCCTAAGCGTCTTATGAACGGCGGCAGCCTTTTTGTCCCCTGACTTCCCTTTCACGCGCGAGGAGATCTGTGGCTCTCCTCACTACTTAGCTCCGGAGCTGATCGGCCCCGGCCCCGGACATGTTCAGTTAGCCGAGATGGGTGAAGGTGTAGGGGGGTTTAGGGTTTAGGGATGCTCTTTTGAAACTTTAGAGAGTTTTCGTGTTAGGAATTAGGGCTTAATTCAGTTAGTGGGGCATCATCTAGCTCCATGACACGCAAGACATCATCACCATGATCGGTGAAGCTGCTGGGGTTGACCGCAAGAAGATCTTAAAGACCTGGGCGGTCTTGTAGCAAGAGAAGGCCTACTGTATGGTTATGTTGGCACTGGCAAAGGAAGACTGGCGGTATCGTAATGATAGCACCGTCGTAATCACAAGAGTCTTGGCAACAGTAGTGAAAAGTGGCCAAGATCTAGCGCTGTAACCCGGAGAACAAACAACGCAAGCAGCCGCTAGCAGCGGTCGTTGTGATTCTAACTATTCTAAGTATAAACAGCCCTTCAGTGTAGTTGTTTTTGGCCTGCAGCATGTGCGAAACAACTCAACAACCGGCAATGATGACGAAGCAAGGAGCAGCATGTCCGAACAACGCGTGCACACATGGGAAAGCATACACCACACGGCCATCGCCGGAGTTGTGTTTTGCATCTGGTATTGACCCTGTAGGGAGCATAATGACGCAGTGCAGTTTGTGTCTTTCAGTGCTCCACTCTCTCTCTCTTGCAGTGTGTGGTTCTGTCTGATGTTTATAGTCATCGTTCTTGGTGCTCCTGTAGCACCAACCCAGGCAACACTCCGTACCTCCCTTTTCCCGGATATTTTCTGCTTACATTACTCCTGTGAGGGGAACTGGTACGATCTACATTCATTATCCTCGACCCTAACAGCCCACGTCGTCCTAAAGCTGAGATTTAGAAGAACCATATGTGTGTGTGTGTATGTATAGAGGTGTATATATATATATATATTATATGTGCATTCATGTGTAGGTATGTATGTATGCGTATGTATATATAGATACACACATATGTAAATTTGAATGTAGAGATACTCTCGCAATGTAAGGTCGCGGTGCACACTTTACAATCAAGTCTTTGTTCGCATTAAATTCAGAGAAGTCGTGGGGACTTGAGCTGTAGAGCTTCGCGTTCAGCTGCTTTCCAGGGCTGATGGTACCGGCGGATCGGCATATGCCAAGGGCCCCTTCTTCACAACACCAGACGACTTGCAAAGCACGATTCAGAGATTCAGCTTGACCCTGCTTGTATGCACTTCTTTTCGAAGGCCAGAAATACAACCAGATGGTCGACATGTGGGCCTTTGGCGTCCTGATGTACCTGCTCATGTACGGCCACTATCCGCAACTCGGGCGAATCATCGCAGTTGCCCTCTTTCTAGTGTCTGTCTGGCCCGGCGGGGTGAAGAAGGAGAAAGGGACGGTTTCATGTGGGAAGCTTGCCTCAACAGCACAACGTCCTGCAACCTCCTTGATGGGATCGCGCCGCTGCACGCTTTTGAGCTCTGCTGCCACTTTGGGCGTTTAGGGTCTTGGGGCTGTGGGCGCCGATTGAAGCAGTTTGACTTTTGCTTTCTCTCCAAGGGCTCCTCGCCTCTTGGACACCATGTGCGAACCCCGTGGGCAGGTACGACTCCAAAAACACGCGGGACATCATGATGAAGGCCGCCTTCTATTGAAGCCCTTGATGCCCCTAGTAGGCTCGCACACCCTACTTGAGCAGATCCTCCGCAGCCCGAGCCCTCCGAACCGGGACCCGAAGCTATGGGAAAAGAGCTTTTTGACATGCGCCGCAGCCATGAGGAGAAGCTGCATTTAGTTTGCTTCCCAAGAGAAAGAAGGGGCCTTTGAACATAAGCCCGGGCCTTCTTGTGGGCTTCGGCCTTCAGGGTTCAGGTGGAGGTGCCGGGTCTTCTGCGATGAGGCTTTGTATCTTATCCTACTTAAGCATCCTGCCGCGACGTGGGCAACCTTGCGGAACCTAGAAGAGTGTCACCTTATGCTCCGCACAGGAACACTGATCACTAATCACTCTAATCCCTAAAGTCCTGGGATGCGTTTGCTGTTGTCGATCAGACAATGAGAAATTTAAGACATCATACTGCGACATGACATCTAACGTAGTATAATACAACCCAATGTACAAGATTGAGTTCAAAGTCCGCCAAGTTCTGAGAACCGAGATTGTAACTCAGAACACTCAATCCGTCTGCCGCCCGTTGTCCAGGAGCCCTCAGCCCAAATCCCCACTAAACACCCTTAGAGCCCTTATAATCCCTTTTTCCTGAAACCTGGGGAGGTTTTGACCGAACCCATCCGGTGGCAGACGAAGGCTAAGCTCTCGCAGCAGACGCACTTGGCCCGAAGATGTGGGAGTTGTAAAGGTGTACATATAGGGGTTCGGGGGCTTCGGGGGTTTATGCTTTAGGTTTTTGCTGTGGTAAATCATGGTTTCTTCAAGAGTTTCGAGGTTCTCCAGGCCGCAACGAGGCCAGAAGCAACCTCGGGGCACAGTCTTTCAAAATCTTACAATCAGGGTCTAGGGCTTAGGCATGTAGGAATGTGCCATAAAGGGGCCCTGGCTTTAAAGTAGCTCTTAGAGGGTTTAGGGTGTTCAGAACATGTCAGGCGTGAGGTAGGGTCTATGGGCTCAGGCTCAGGGTCAGAATATTCCAGGCCAAGGCTGCGGGTCTAGGAAAGGCTGGAGTCCGATGCGGAGAAATGGAAGCCAAGAGCCATCTTGTTGGGTTTAGGGTTTCGGGGAATGCAGCAAGCTTGTTTCATAAACCTCTTGAGTCAAAGACTGGTGAGAAGTGCTACGACTACTACGAATGAAACCCCTGCAACAACATCGAAGGGAAGCTTGTTTAAAGCTCCTATGCTACTCCGACAGTGCCGACACCCCGTTTAGGGCTTCCAGAATCGAAGGTTGGGCTTCCTGAAGCGCTGCTTGGAGCCTTCGGTGAGAAAGCGCATGACCGCCGAGGCTCACGGTAGGCTTAACGTGCTGCGAGTCTTGCGCCTATCTTCATGTGCGTACCCTACCAGGAAACTGCAAGGCATCGTGTAGGGTTTCAAGCTTTGCCGCACGAACTCTTGGAGCAGGGTGAAGGACATTCGGGTTGCATTGGAAGGCATCATGCTTGGCCCAGCAGGAACATCCCATTAGACTACGCCCGGCTCTGGGAATACTCCAACCCCTGAGTCGCCACCCTGTCATAGTCTAGAAAGGAAGGAGAGCAGGAGCCGTTAGCTTTTTTCGTCGTAAGTCCCAACCGGTTTTCCGCTAGCCGCTATTCTAACTTTCTCAGGCAGGAGTGTCCCTTCATGCCTCTGTCCCGCTTGCGAGAACACAGCTTGCACAACGCACCGTGTCTCACAAGGGTCCACACTTAAGTCTCTGAGTATCCTAAACACCAAAACCTTGAAAACGAAAGAAACTTTCCGAAAGCCCTAAACTTCCTATTTCCCAATCATGGCCACGGCTCAAGCGATACATGCGCTAGGGAAAGATTGCAGAGGTTGTATCAGCAGCACCACCATCACTGTCTCGGGCATTGATCTCTTCTTGCGACTGCTGTTGTCATACCGTGTTGTTCTGCACACACTGAAGCACCGCACGACTTAGCGCAACATACGGTCTCAGCCGCTGATGCATGCTGAAAAAAGTGAGTTGGACAGTAGCCACCCCGCGCTGTCTTGATTCCAAATCCAGCCTTTGAACATGCCGTGTTGCTCCTTCATTTCCGCTTTGATGATGGCCATCGCGAGTTGTACCGAAATCTTTGTGCGAGACGATCGAGCCCTCGTGCATGTCTTCCTGCCACCGTGGCTGGCCTACGGCCTGGATCCGGCAACGTCCTCCGCCTGCATGTTCGAAGGCCTGGACTTCGTCCGCGCGAATCTCAGCCAAGAGGGAGTTCCAACATCCGCTCTGGACACGACGAGCTTCCAACATCGCAGGACAGTGATGAAGCAGAAGCTGGAAGGCCTCGCCGGGGATGTCTCCACACCTTTACGTGCCAATCTGCAAGAGGGCAGAGCCGCCATAGACGACATCGTCGGTTTCCAAGCCAAAGGCTATCGCCTTCTTCAACGGAGACGCCTACATCGCGGACACGTCCAACAACAGGATCCTGAAGGTTAGTCCAGGCAACTCCGAGGCTGAGATCTTCTACCGAAGAAGATCTCAGCCTCGGAGCTGCCCGGACTAAACTTCAGGATCCCGTTGTTGCCATAGTTCGCGATGTAGGACGCCTACATCACTGACCATTGCAACAACAGGAGCCTGAAGGTTAGTCCGGGCAACTCCGAGGCGGAGATCTTCTTCGCTTGCAGAGGCAGAGGCTCCGACCTGGACCA